CAGCAAAGCGTTGAAGATACAATTATAGCCAAGGAACATATTTTCATATGTGGTGGACCTGTCCCTAAGCCCAGAAGTACTGGCTTAAAATTAAAACATGGTTGGAAGAAATAACAAGAAAAAGAATTAAGACCAGAAATGTTTTTATTAGGTATAATAGGATCTAATTTTAGGAGGAATCGCCAATATAGCATACTCCATATAGTAACCACTACCAGAATCTCATTTGCTCAAAACTGGAAACAGGATACTATCCCCTCCAAGGCAGGAATAATAAAAAAGATCCTTGAATGTCCTGAAATGGACAGGGTAACAATGGTATTGAAAAACAAAGAAGAAATAGAGTACTATAAGATATGGAATGTTTGGTATGAGTGGTTAGAAAAAAGACACAAAGGCGTCAATTGACAGAAAATATGAGAAAGTGTTAATTAATGTTGTACATATATACATATACACACACACAAACACACACATATATTAATAGCGTTATAAGCTAAATTGAGAAATAAGAGTATAAGTGAATAAAATGGAGAAGCAATTGATATAGTGATAGACTTTGTGAAATAGTATGAACACCGTTACAGAATTGTAAAACGTGGAAATTGTTTTTTAAATTTTATTCAGCATAAATAAATAAATATTTTAAATGGAAAAAAAAATTAAATGAAGTTGAACAGCCAAAAATAAAATAAAATAAATACATACTTACAATACATACTACAAAAAAAATACAATACATACTACAAAAGTGTTGAAAACCTGGTTAATTACTAGATGGCATATTTTGGAAATTTTGAAACATTATCACAGGAATTTTTTTTGAGATTAATTAATTATGTTCATAAACGTCCAGGCAGATTAATATAGATTAGAGACAGTTTAGAGGCAGTATGAATACATTAGGAATTGGCAATTATTTTCTGTTCATACCAAGCTTCACTGGGTTCCTTATTAATACTTGAAAAAGCTGAAGATTTTTTGAATACATAGGAATGATCTTGAAAGCAGAATTATCAATTAAACCTTTAATTCATAAGAATCAGAGAAGAGCTGGCAGCAGCGTTAAATTTCTTTTCTTATTTTTCTTTTTGTTATTTTCAAAGCTTTGATGAATAAGTTGATTTCTTACAGTGAAGAGGGATGTTTCAAAACTACCATGTAAAGTGGGAAATAATGGAGATATCTTTATTTAAAATATTTTATAAGAATCAACTCCAGCATATCTGGATCATTTCAAAATCAAATGCAATCTTTTAACTTTTTTAAGCCTTTTTATTTGTGATCAATGGTATCCTCCAAGGTATACCATAAAGTTAATGGTAGCTAATTACATATTGAAAATATGCAAATAGATAATGATCAGATGCACAAACTTGCAATCTATGTAAGATAGCAATTAAAAAATACAAGGTATAATATTGATTGTATCAAAATCAGTGGGATAAAATTTGTTCGTTTGGAAAGATAAGAAATTTAAATAGTACTAATAGTTTAATAATTCTCTAAACATGATTAAAGCTGAAGCTCCACTAGAACCTAAGACACTGTTTCAAAAAAGACAATGTATTGTGAAATTGATCTTAAAATAAATTTGGAACTTATTAAACTTTCTTTGTTCTAACTTTTTGTTTCTTTTATACTATAAGAACAAAGTCTGCATTACCATATGAAGTTATTATAGTAAAATAATTTTTCTATTGCTCTGTATATGTATAGAAAATATTAATGAACAACCTACATACAAAGGGGAAGACACCAATAACCACCTTTCTAACAGCACTATTATATTAAAGTTGAGGGGTCAATTCTGAACTACAAATATTTCTTTTATTAGTGCTAAAGTTTGAATTAAAAGGTTGCTGTTTAATGCAATCAGACACCAATTTTTTATGAACATCAGAATATGCTCCTTCCAGACATTTCATATACCAGCTCTTTTTGAAAGTACTACATATTTTAAAATAGCTTGAAGAAATGGCATGGTCTGAATCTTATTTCATGTGCTATTAGTTATGGTTTCTAGTTAGAACTTTGTATCCTAATTGTTAATGTTGAAAATGTACTCACAAAAGAATGCTAATCTTATGATATAATTTGCTTTTGATATAATCTTTTCCATTGTAATCATTATTTCACGCACCACTGCAAGCAGAAATCATTGCTGAATGGCCAGGATTTAAGTCTGAATACACATGTATCAAGTCTCTTTATCATGGATATACAAAAGTTGGGGACTTCTAATTTGAAGAGTGAAATGTTAAAACATGAATATAATTTATCTTTAGTGCAATGTATGGACCACTCAAAATCTTTCAGGAATTACCATACAGAATAACTGCTAATTTATTCCCACCTATGTATAAGAAAAGAATGGATAGATGAGGCTGTGTATATAATTTTACAAAAATTATAGTTTCTTATAGTCTCATTTGCTTGTGTGACTATGAGATATATCAGTGGATGGCTAACCTTTTAGGGTTCCTATGCCAAAAATTAGCACCCAAAAGGCAATGCGCGCACCCCCCTCACATCCCCTGCGCATGTGCATGTGATCCCCCTGTCGCCCCCTTACCTGTATTGGGCATGTGCATGCCTCCCAGCTGATTTTCAGCCCGTTTGAGGCCTTTTTTGGCCTCCCAGAGGCTTGAGGGAAGCCTCTGCAACCTTTGGAGGCCAAAAAATGGGCCCATTTCATCATTTCTGATATTTCCAGAAATACAGCAAGTGACAAAACAGGCCTGTTTTTAGGCCTCCAAGGACTGCAGAGGCTTCCCCCGAGTCTCTGGGAGGCCAAAAAAGGCCTCAAATGGGCCGAAAATCAGCTGGGAGGCATGCACATGTGCAGTGAGTTAAATTTGGCTGGGGATCACATGCCCGCACAAATGGCTCTGCGTGCCACCTGTGGCACGCATGCCATAGGTTCGTCATCATGGAGATATATCTTAAAAACACAACCAGTAGTTGGCTTTTGTTCCAATACAACTTAAATTAAAGCTGCTTTAACACTTAAAATCCATGTTCACAAACATTAATACTTTGGTCACCAATCAGTTAAACTGATAGCAGGATTGCCTTTGAAGATCACTCAGAAACTGAAGCTGGTCCAGAATGCAGCACCATGAATATGTTGATATGACTCTGTAGCAGCAACTCCCCACTTTTGTCAGCTGCTCTGGCTCCAGTGAGCTTCTGGGAAGAATTACGTGCTGATTGACATCTACAAAGTTCTCACAGCAAACAGCTAGGCTATTTGTGGGTATTAAACAATGTCCTCTAATAGCATCCAAGAAGCATGCTTCTCTGTTAGATTATATTATGTATTTTTAATCTTTGTTGAATTGTTTTGATGACTTTTTTAATTTGGTGTGCAACACTTAGCAGAGTTTCATGCTAAATGGGCAATCATACAAACTGAATAAATTAATGAAAATACATAAAGTCCTCCTATACTCCAGAAGAGTGCCTATTCAGTAATTTTGGCCGCCGGCCACTCTTCTCCAGAAAAATAATCTCTGCCACTAAATTATTGAGGAACAGCTTAGTGGCTTCTCTTTGTCTACTTTTAAGAATGGAGAAAGTTAAAAAGCTTTCAAAATGAGAGACTGCTTTCAGTATGAGTTGACTTGGTAGGCAAGAAAGCCGGAGGGCTTTTCAACCTTCACTTCCAGTGCAGGTAGTCACACTCTGATCTTGCTAACTGCTGTGTGTAATGGTTTAATAGTTCCCTCTGTGGAGCCACAGTGGCTCACATGGTAAGATGCTGGGCTTGTGCACTGCTGAGGTTGGCAGCTCGGGAGTTTGATTCCCGTAACCGAATAAACTGGGCAAGGACAAAAAAGGAGCATTCAGGCATCCATTGGGTAAAGATAACACCACCCGAAAAAATTTCTTTCACAGTGGCAGCCAGCCACCTCAGTGATCCCTGGCTAACATATGCCATACACTAAATAGACAATATCTTCCTGCCCAACCAGAAGTGTAGAAATAAAAGTTAAGGATTCACACTTACTTTTATAATTTGCATATAGGAATGAGAACATTAACCTTACCTAGCAGTATACAGAAAAAGAAAGAAATAACCTAATTCAAATTCTCATTGGAATATATGCACTTTTACAGAAATAACTAGTTTTCTAAAGCTTTGATTATTTCCACCCACTATCTTAGATTAGATTTAACTGACAGATCAGATTTAAGTTTTCCTTTCATTTTTTTGAGATTATATTTCTCTCCATTTGCTATAGATAATTATTTTTAACACTGCACAAAGTTTCTGTGTGTGGTAGTTTGATTAGTGATTAATTAATTCAACTTTCATACCAATAGTTTGCTTTCACTGGGTTCTCTTTCCTCACAATCAATAAAAATAGGACATGTTTATTTATATTTTAATCAAATGAATACGTTTTACTTTCATCATCATATATTATTCAAGGAACAATACTTTCAATCAATATTTTGACTTTGGTTTGAAGAAATAGAAAGTCAGTCAACTAGTACTTGCCTTTTAGTATTAAACTAGTATATTAAATACTACATGGTATACTTGAAAGTGAAACAGAAATGATGGTAAGAAAAAGACAAATGTTGTCAAAATAGCTGACCGAATTTTCAAGTTTTTCAGAATTTAATAATATAGCATAGAAACATCTCATTAATAACATATACAAGGTAACATTTCACATAAATTGTGTAATTTATAAAAAAGAGAGAGCATAATTTGAATCTTAATCTAAGCAGCCTAAAATATGTGTGTATTTCAAAAAAAGAATATCTCTCATTTCAATCTCTGTAACTTTAAAAACACCAAAAATGTTTTCCCCATTGTCAGGAAGTCAAGTATTTTATATTAGTAAACATCTTTTTTTTATAAAATCAGTGGCACTACAGCTAAAACAAGAAGATGAAACAACAAATAAAATGAATTCAGGGATTATTATAGCTGCCTCTTTCAGATGCAAAAGAAATAGAACTTTATGTTTATTGTTTGCTCTTACCATTTCTTTGTGATTTGGATAAAAGGTTTGCTCAATCAGAGGAAATTTCTCTGCTCCCAGGGATCTATAGATGGACACCAATTGGGCAAACTACAGAAAAACAAAACATTAAATTTCAAAGACAGTTAATATAAAAATGATCTCAGCATTCCTCTGCAATCCTCTAATCATTACCTATCAAAATCTCAAGATCTAAATTCCAAAATGCCTTAGTGTTGCCAGATTATTATCTACAGAAAAAGGAAGTAAAAAGCTACATAAACAACCTCAAATTAATACATCTATTTATAAATATTATCTGGATTTTCCCCTATAGCAATACTTGAATATAGCTCATCTACAAGGTATTGCTAAGCAGGCATATTTAGAAATAAACAGAGGATTTTAGCGCCTGTCTGCTTGGTCCTAAACAGTTTATGCAAATTGCTTTTTCATAGAGCTATCACTACAGTTTAGTGCCAACTCTAATGTTGCATTTAAGATGAGATCATTTATTCCATATTTCCTTCTTTTCATTCAGTTCTGAGTTACTACTAATAACTGAATGAGATATCTATAGCCACAGTATTTCCTCCCAAGTTTACATAGCTATAGCAAATGTATAGCACAGAGATTGCAATAAGGTCTAATTATACATTCATGGTCAAATGAGACGTCATCATTCATTTAAAAGCATGAAATGCTTTTAAAAGGTAAATTGGGTCAAGCATGGGGTGGGAGAAGGAGCAACAGACCCTATCACAAGAAAAGAGGCTAAAAGGACAATATGGAGGGTTTTTTTTCCTATATAAAAGGACACCTGAAAGAGCAACCTCCTACTCATGATTGGGTATTTGATTTTCCTGATCTTCGTCTCGGCCCATTACCTAGCTTGTCAGATTAGTATAGGGCTGGGGAGATTTAATACTTTGCAGCATATGGTACTTGCATTTGGAAAGAGCTAATTACTTCCAGTATTTGTTCCATTGTGAACCATCATATTATTAAAGCAAATTTGTGAATTATTTTTGCAATGTTAATAAAAATAAGTTAATTTCTTTATTGACAATCATCTGTTCTTCAAAAAGAAGGGAGAGAGAGTGAGAAAGAGAAGTGTGTTTTATTTACTAAACAATTTTTATTTATCTTGCTTCCTTTTCTACTTTTCTTCTTTAACTTTGTAAAAAATTGTTTAATACAAATAGATATAGATATAAATACAGATAACAGCCTCATGGGATGAAAAGAGAAAACTCCAGCCATAATCTCCAGACTGCCTGGCTGTATTAACATTTTGATATGTTTTAATAATCTCTCTCTTCCTACTGGAAAGTAAATAAACATAGCCATAGAAGCCACAATGTCAGATTAGCACCCATTACCACATTCTGTTCAAATAAATAAAGACAAGGTTTTGTCTAAAGGAAGAGATAATAAGTAGCGAGACAAACCAAGGGCATCTCAATAACATATTTTTCATGATGCAGTGTCTAACCTTTGTTTGTACTAGCCTTCTGGTACTGGTTAGTAACAGGGCTTTCGGCTAAGTCGAAAGGGGGGCTCTGCAGTTGTTGAAGTACAGTGGACATGGTGAAACATGCATTGCATTGGATAAAGGTTTCTGAAATATTTGGGGCAGCACAGAAGAAGACTTGGATACGAGGGCATTCTGAGTCAAGCTGAGAACATAGGAATTTGTCCCCACTTCGGCTTTAGCCTCTAGTAATACTTCCAGGCTGACAGAGCAATTGGAGAAAATCCTTCAACGGTCCCAAAGTCTGGTATCTATAATGAACTCACTTAGCTTTTTAGCTAAATCAGTAGTGGGATTCAAAAAGTTTTACTACTGGTTCTGTGGGCGTGGCGTGGTGGGCATGGCTTGATGGGTATGGCAGGGGAAGGATACTGTAAAATCTCCATTCCTACTCATTAACCTGCTTTCCAGCTCCATTCTCCTGTGCAGGGCAACAAAAGAAGACCCAGCCAATCAGCTGGGATTCAGGAGTCAGAGAATAGATGGGGGTGCAGCCAGTCAGAGGTGGTATTTGCCAGTTCTCCAAACTACTCAAAATTTCTGCTACGGTTCTCCAGAACTGGTCAGAGCTTGCTGAATACCAACTCTGAGTTGAATGCTATGAGATAACTATCTAGAAGTCAAATTTAAAAAATGGGATAGAATAAACATTTAGATATGACTGCCATTTAGGCTTCATACTTCGTATTGTACCTCTTGTTAATTTTACATTTTTAAAATCATAATTTTAATTGCCATATTAGCATATTTTAGAACTGTAGATTCTTTTTACTTTAAAAATCTGGAAAACTGTTTTTTTATGCAAAGGATTGGGTAAAAGATAAAAGTATTTTGATTTTAAAAGATAAAATGTACAAAGTTATTGCAAATGCCTGCAGCCTTTTTAACAATTGCAGGAATAACACATTAAACTTCTTAAGGTAGAGAGGCTGGCTGGTTTTGTCTTGAATGCCAGCAGGCAAAAATTATAATCTCACATTAACTTTCTACATGCAGAAATGATTTTATTTGCATTGCATCATACAAATAGAGACTGCAAGGAAAAGCAATGGAAATATGAGTCACAATTACTGTACATAAAGTTTTTCATACAGGTGCTCATATTTGTGTTTATAGTATTATCATCCAGAATGATAAAAAAAAATGAAATGTGGGAAGTCATTCTAGCTAGGTAGTAGTACCATTTTTAGGTTCTTTTGTTCAGCTCCCTTACCTACTGTTTATTATTTCATCCTATTCTCGGAAAAGACACTTTTTATTAATAGCTACTTTATTAACTTTGTACAAGACTGATTACAGCTCTTTTATCTGCAAAATTTTGAGAACTTTGGTGGTAAAAAAGCCACAAGAAAATGAGGCAAAGGTTATGAATATTAAATGTTAATATATTAAGCATTAAATATTCATAGTAATTTAAAAACATTAAGGGATATATAGCATTTATATTATGTAAGGCTTTGAGATGCAATCCAAATGTAAATGTTTTAATAATGTTTTGTAGGTGCACAGGGGCAGACATTGGACTAAATGGTACTCATTTTCCTTTCCTTTCCCCAATTTGACATTCAAATGTTATTCTTCAATTATACAATGAAATATATGATTATTGAATTAGGATTTGTTACTTACTACCCAGGGCTTGTCACAGAAGTTGTAGATTGACTCTAGAGAGTTAACACTTGGGATGCTTGCATAATGCATTCCAATAATTAAATTGCGAAAATCTTCATTTTCGGCCATGCTGAATGAATGTTGCCGGACAAGAACGAAGTCAGGCTTGAATGACCTAAAGAGAATTGAGTTTAACAGTGAACAAACAAATATATTAGAAACTTACTAGAGCTATGGGAGCTACTGAATGAGAACAGGCTGATTAAGATTACATCTAGAGGAAAAAGCATTATGCTGAAAATTGTTTATGTCCTTATATTTTTCTAGACAAGATTCTGGAAATGATTTGCCTCCATCTAGTTTCATAATTCAAAGCAGAAAAGCTCTATGTGTAGGAGATATATTCAATATTGTGCAAATATCAGATATGGTTGCTAAAGGTAGCACTATAGTTGTCATAATAGTGCGATATGGAAGCCATTGTATAGGTACAACTCTGGTCTGGAAGAAATAGAAATGTTAGTAGCAAAATGTATTCTTAAAATGTTTTTTAAGATGTTGTAAAGATAGAACTCCTTTTCCAGGAATAAATTAAAAATGGATTGGCAAGTTTGAAAATCTTTGAGGGAGCTCTCCCTTTTAATCTTTTAGTTAAGAGTCAGAGAATGAAAAAAAGTGGTCCAAGGACAGAGTTGTCATCGTGACCAAAACTATATTCCAAAAGGAAAGTAGAGATTTATGGTTCTGGAATAAAATCCAAATAGGGGACTGTTAGAATTTCTCTTGTAGGGAATAGTATATTTCTATATCAGAGGTCTCCAAACTTGTGGACTTTGCTGGCTGAGGAATTCTGGGAGTTGAAGTCCACAAGTTTGGGGACCCCTGTTCTACATGTTTGCATTTTGTTCAGGCCATAAGCTTCAGTACAATGAAAAATTCCTCTCAAAGGAAACAAAAAAGGCTAGGAGAAAGTAAAGAATTATTTAACTTCATTTGTACTTATTGGTTGTGTTAATGATGATGGAGATTGGTAAAGAAAGGAATTTCACTAACTGGCAGCCATGAAAAAATCTTGGATATTGAAAGCTGGTTGAAAAAAGGGAATTCAGGCAATTTTTTTTTAATCTACCATTTTATAGGTGGTTAGAGGGTGAGGCTTCTGTTATCTAAGTCAGAATGTTTTGATATCTATGCAGACACATACCCATCCTTCTGAGGGAACATGACCAAAACTAGTAACTGATAAATTTTATCCCAAGTTGAGGGTAAAATGAAAATGAAGATGCCATGATAGAGAGTGATGGTAAAGTCATAATTTAAAGGTCTGTTTGTAAAGCTTATTCTCTTCCCTAATTTTTTCTCCTAGGACCAAAAAAATATTAACACTGAATTTGTTGCCATCTGTGAGATCTGGGAAAAACCTTAACACTGGATACTAATTTAGAACTGCTTTATGTTTAAATCCTTCTGCTTTATCACTGCTTGTTTCATATATAACATCTACTTCTGTTCAAATAGGCCTTCAATGACCTATTAGTGCTCACTAAAGACAAAACCAATAACTCTTTAACTATTTTATTCATAGTCTCTCTAGAGCAGGGGTTCCCAACCTGGGGTGCGAGACGATATTCCAGGAGGTGCGAGAAAAGTCCAGGTAATTATATTAAAGAATAAAGTAACAATCTTTTTTTGATAAAATATTATTCAGAATTTGCATAATTTATCCTTGAGCAAAATATAAATTTCAGGGGGTGCGAGGTTCAAGTGAAATTTCTTTAGGGGTGCAGGGCGAAAAAAAGGTTGGGAACCACTGCTCTAGAGCAATTATAGACATTCTAAGATTTTGCAAGTTTGTTACCAGGAATATTGAAAGATGCTTTTTCTATTCTTTGAAAATCTTAATCTGAGGAAGAGAAATTTAGCAGCACAAAATAGCATACTTTTCTTGAAAAAGTCATGGACAAAACCCTCCTGTTAACCTGACTGATAGATAGTTCTTGATAATCATACACTGTCCAGTAGATAAATCTGTTAGCCAAAACCTCACATGAATTAGAACAAAGTGAGATGCTATTTGGATATTTTATCTTAGATATTGAATGGTTTTACTTGTTTGCTACTTATTAATTTATCAAGAAGATGAATAAACACCATAATTACATCAGGGGTGGGTTGCTGGAGCTTTACAGGGGTTCGGGGGAACCCCTATCTAAGATTCTGTGCAATTTGAAGAACCTCCAAATCCCACTCTTGGATGGCCTCGCTCACTCCTACCCTCCCCTTCCCCGAGTCCCCACGCAGCCTGTTCTGGATGCAGGTAAGTGCAGGGTGTGCACGGATGCTCAGGAAGGGTGAAAAACAGGCCTCCCAGAAGTTCGGGAAGGCCAAAAATGTGCCTGTTTCTGGCTTCCAGAGAGCCTCTGGAGCCCAGAGAGACTGTTTTTGCCCTCCTGGCAAAAGGAGGCTTGAGGAACGCCTCTGGAGCCTGGGGAGGGCAAAATGCCTCCCCCCCACCATGGTGCAGGAGACCAACTAGGTCACCATGGCCACACCCACCCAGCAACTGGGCAGAGAACCCATTGCTAAAATGTTTGAAGCTCATCCCTGAATTACATCATCCATTGACCTGGATGTACCTTGGCTGTAAAACGTGGATGAACCCTGAACAGATTCTATTTCTAATAAAGGATGTTATTCATGATCATGTTTTGCATTTATTTATGTTAACCTTAATTCTGAAAGTCAAACAAGTAAAATAACTTACTTGACAACTTTAGTGCCATTTCGAAAAGCTTGCACATTTACAGAATAATTCCCATCAGCATGAGCTATCAAACTGACCTCTGAAAATTGTGCCTGAAAGATTCAAAAACACATAAATAAACAAACTAGTTTTAAGCTGCTAGTCCACATGTAACTTCTGTGGACATATAAAATTTGAACAAACAAATAGTATCTAGCAAAGTGTGCTTAAAAATATTATTTTATGAGTATTTGCTTATAGAAGAAGTTACACACTTAGAGAACAGAATAATGTTGGAACTGTTTTTTCACATGAAAAATAGAAGCAATGTATAAATGGAAATACCTTCAATAAGTAATAAACACTTCTGGGATCTTGCCAGGTATGAAAGAAAATTTTTCACATATTTATATTACAAACAAAGGTGTCATAAAAATTATTATCATCACTAATTTTAAAAAATTCAAATCTCTTGGTAGTTCTTCCCGTACATTCATGATCAAGTTGTAGATGAGAGCAGATTTGCTACAGGCAAAACTGCCATTCAAAACAGAGCAATTGGAGCCTGCAATTCCCTTCCACCATCTGTCTATAATGATCTCCTTTGACGTCACTTATCCCATGCTGGCAAAGGCACACCCTGAAGTTTTTCCCTTGCCCATTTTTCATCTTGAAACGTCCTTGTTTCAACTCTTTTGCTCCAGGGAGAACAATTCTACAGCCAAACTCCAACGCTCACCCGGAAATGACATTCATTCATTCATTCATTCATTCATTCATTCATTCATTCATTCATTCACACACACACATTTATATTCATACATTCATTCATACATACTTTCTGGATGCTGCATGACTCTAATGAACTTACCCTTCCAGTCCACATTTTCCTAATTTCTGCAGTGTCAAAAAATCTTTAGCCAACATTTATAGTTATGTCCTCTAAAACTACCTTCCAAAGTTCATCTACACTCCTCATAATTTCTGCCTTTTTAAAAGAGGCAATCTTAAATATATTTACATTCATCTATCTTCAGTAGAACATTTACTCCTATTCCTGGTAGAAGATGCCATGCATGATTTGACTCACTCCACAACAGCTAATTAATTCTAGGCTTGTCTGTTTATATAGGGAGAGTGCCAATAATGGAAACTTCCTTCTTGCTTCTGTAGCTACCAGCCTAGCAACAACTTCCATAGACATGCCTGGCCCCAGCAGTTACAGATGTCATGAACTCAATGCTTTTTTCTATGGGTCCTGGCAGTGTTCACTGGTGGATTCATATACTGTAGTTCCAGTTGGTCCTTTTGTTGATCCTACATTTGGATATTTCCACATTCGCTGTTTCCCCAGCAATCTGCAAGTTTTGTGAGCATTCAGCTAGCATGACAATCCCTGATCTGCAGCTTCAGCTCTTCTCTCCATGCATCTTCTATTCTTATGTTACATTTCTCTTTCACATGTCTTAAACTATCTGCTCCATTCACTTTCTATTGCAAATCCAACATCCTTCACTTCATGAAATCAGCAAAAACTGAAGGCAATATACCATGTCATTACAATTATCTTCATTTTTTCCCCAAGCAAATACAATTATGATATTATACTCCTAAGTAAATGTAATGTAGTTTTTATTCATTAGGCATATTCTTTTAATTAAAAATTATACGTGCAACAAAAGTAATCAAATGAAATAAGATAATTATAGGCACAATAAAGAATATATTATGTTGCTTTTCTATTATTAGGGAGGGGTTGACTACAATTTTATCTCCTATGTTAAAAGCTGTTAGATGTTGGGACAGAAATATGATTTTGATCCTATTTACATGAAAAACAAACTATTGAATTAAAGAAAGAACAAAATTTTAAAAAGAATACAAATGTTTATCTTTCTTTCTCTTGTCCTACAAGTTAATCTACCTGAACAAATTATATCAAAACAGGGAAGGAACACACTTCCATTTGGTCTCATAGGAAGAGTGAGTAGAAGTGATAAAAACTCACTGGCCAACTAATCATGTTCATTTCTAAGATCAATTCCATCACTTACTCCCCATCAGTTTTGTCCATATGTGGGCTATAATGCAATCATGTTTGAGAATAAAATTTTTCTTGCAAAGTAAAAAAAAATCCCATCAAGTTCATGAATATCCTCTGAATCATCTACAGTAGAAGTGACAGTAAGTCATATGAATTTATTAAAAGTTTCACTGCCGTAATAAATACCAATATCTTTAATAGAATAATGTAACTTTGCATTTAGAAACGAACAGTAGGAAGCCTTAAAACAATTGTTAAAGAAAACCCTGTCAAGTGTTGTTAAAAACGTTTTATTACTGCCTCAAAATCTCAACAAATTCATATTTTATTCACTGTATTATATAATTTTATTATTTACACTGGGTCAAAAATATTTTTATATGATACCAACTTATTCCATTCTTAATACTCTGAAATAATATTTAACGCTAAGAAAAATTATGTGAGTAATATGACAGTAATCTTTTTTGAATACCTGCTCAACTTTGATGTCGTATTCTCCATGGACTTTTTTCCCACGAAAACATTTGGTCCTGAAATAGAAAAATTCTCATTAAAATAAGTTGTAAGTAAATGAGCAAAATCATATTTGTATTAAAAAGCTGTCTTTTAGCAATTTATTTAATACATGTAGTTCTTGACTTACTACTATATTGGAATCCAGAAATTTCATCGTTAAGTCATGATGGTTATAAATCAAAGCACCCATGGGACTGCCTTGATTTTATAAGTTATTTTGTGGGAGTTATTAAGTGAGTTGTTCATTTTTATCAGCATTTTTGCAAAAAAAAAAAAGGCCAGGAACCAACAAAAACCACTGCTACATGACTGTAGAATGCTGCAACCAACCATAAAAACGAACCAGTTGCCAAGCATTGAAAATACTATTGGCCCTGCAGAATCTGGTTGTAACTAGCTTTTGGAAGGGTCTGTTGTAACTTTGAATAGTCACTAAACAACAACTGTGAAATGATGACTTTATTTAATTGAATCATTGAATTTATTGAATGAGTTTAACATATTTCTATCTATCTGTCTGTTGTGAAAATTTGACTGTTAATATTATTAAGATTAAAAATATTTTAGATTAGGGACTTATAGTCAAGCAATGGAGCTCAAAGGCTAGTATATTTGATTTCTCAAATTTCCTTTTTCTAGAGCCCTTTGCACCCCTGGTTTTGTCTGCTACCTTGGCATAACATATTGCTTTCTACTCTTATTTGTACAGGAAAATCAGTGATATAAATATGAGGCAGCCCTTATAAAAACATATGCTTCACTTGGAGAGATAGGAAGAAATGTAGGAGAAAGTCAAGGTTAACCTGCTTTGACCTTCCTGTATTTAAACACAGTGGAAGGGGAAACTCTATTCTTATAGCCTATATCAGAGGTCTCCAAACTATTCAACTTTAAGACCTGTGGACTTTAACTTCCAGAATTCTGGGAGTTGAAGTCCACAAGACTTAAAATTGCCAAGTTTGGGGACCCCTGGCCTATATTAATAAAGTAGATGTTCTACTGTTTCCTGGCCTGGCCTACCTCAAAGACCTGACACGATCTTTTAGAAAAAAAAATCTAATGATGTGTGTAAAAAATGTGAGTTCTTACAGCCCATGCTACCTTTTTGAGAATTCAAAATTTAAATGCAAAAAAGTAATATAATTTCAAAAGTGCAGCCTTATATCTATGTAACACATATAGGAGCTTTCCCTCTTTCATTGGGAAACAGATCAATCCCATCAACAAAAGCAAACTATTTTAAAAAAGGGGACCAATGTTTAACTTCATTTTTTAAAAAAAAGATAGTATAGTTACTATCACACTGGGAAAGAAAGAAAAAAACAAACTGATGCACTTTTATTCAGTCCCATTTCATAGACATCATCCAATGTTCTATTCTAGTATTTTTAAAAAATCAATTGTGTGGCAGATTGAAGTATCTGACTTTATGGCTATATGACAAAAAGCATATTTCCCCCATGGAGATATGAATTCCATTTTTGGCCAGCAGCGTGCAGCATTCTAAAAATCTGAGCAATATGGATAGTTACAAAGCACTATATTCAATTAGGATTAAATAATCTTCTTAGAGCAATATTATTTCTGATTGAATCAATCAAGTAATCTCTGGCATCTTGTTTCACATGATTTCATTTTTAAATTAAACATTAACACAGAAAACCAAATTATTTCATTTGAGTTTTAACAACAAAATGGAATCTCAACTGTTAATTATACCCAGATTAATTAAATGCTAAAATGAAAAAAATATATATTTTTCATCCTTTAGGACTAAAAATCATTCTTGGTATTGTGTGAATGCATACCCCTCAATATTTAGTTCAGAAATTTAGACAACTGAAATGTTACTAATTTTGAAATGTTCATTTACTGAGATTCCAAAGTTAAGTGGTGCATTCATTGTACAGTTCTTCATTATTCCCAGCATTGCGTCTTGGGTAATTTGTAGCTATATTAAAATATATTTATCTAACATATTGAACATGAACATGAAGAAGATGGAATATTAAACATACATAATAGGAAAATGTTATTTACTGCTACAGTACTATGCAAGATAAATCAACAATGGTAAAAGCATGTTATCTTCAAATAACAGCAACTTCTAATTAATTTTAAATGGTTTAACAGAATGAAGGACCTCTGGTAGAATAAATTCTGATATATGAATAGCCTGGCCTTGTTTCATAAATAAGACATAAATGCGCTTTTCCCAGTAAGTCACAACATCACTACTTTCAATAAGGGAGAAAAGGTTATATATTACATCACATCATCTATTTATCCATCCTATCATCTGCCTAACTACTTACTTACTCAGAGTTAAATACCAAATAGCAATGTTTCTTTTCAATGAAGTGTTCAGAAGTATATAAAATTTAATTCAATAAAAAGAAAGTTTCTTTCTATAAATTTCTTTAATGCTACCTGTATGCAAGAATCTGAAGGCAAATTGGTGCCCAATAAGTCAATGGATTTCAATGTGGGGTGGTGTTTGTTCTGGACTAGCAGGCTCGAAAGCCTGCAACTCTGATTGGCCCACGAATAGCAGATCGTGATTGGTCACCGCAGACTGATGCGATTGGCTAGTAAACGGGCTGCTGCGATTGGCCCTGCCAAGAGCGGCAAACTCAAATCGCTTTCATTGGCTGCCTAGCCGCAGACAGCCCTATATAAGGGGCTGCTGCGGCCGGGATAGCTCGCTCAGATCTGAAGTCACTAATAAAGAGCTGTTGTTGTTATCTGAGTCTTGCCTCCGTTCTTGAACCATCCTCCCAGATTTAACTCTGGCGACGAGGATGGGATGACGAAGTCTACAAGAACTGAGCTAGCTGAAGGAGCATGTGGCTGACAGAGCGCAACGACGGCAACATGGCCAGCAGCGCTATACCACCCACCCCATTCGATCCAGCTAGCGAGGACTGGGACTCATATATGGACAGATTTCAAATGTTCCTAGAGTCCAACAACCTCAAAGATGCCACGCCCAGCAAGAAACGAGCCGTTTTTCTAACCCATTGTGGACCAGCCGTTTTTAAGATGGCTAAAGCCTTAGCGAAACTAGCTGAAGTTAAAACTATGGATTGGGACACCCTTGCTCCCATCCTGCGCAACCATTATGCCCCAGCAGTACCAACTCTCATTCGCAGACACGAGTTCTATCAGAGGGACCAGCGTGAAGGTGAGAGCGTTGGGGATTTCGTGGCAGACCTGAGGAACCTGGGTGGTTTATGTGGCTTCGCCAACCTCGAAGAAGCCATGAGAGACCGAATCGTCCTTGGCCTTAGAGATCCAACTGTCCAGAGCAAGATCATGGCCAAGGGAGACATCTCGCTTGCAGATTCCATAGCAGATGCCAACGCGGCTGAAGCCACTCGTAAATCAGCAGCACGAATGTGCCGAACCAGCAGAACCAACCGCCAACCCACCAATGATGCTGGGAAACCTTCAGACAAATACACATCAACCACCCATCATGAAGATGTCGAGTCATCCTCAGACAGCGAGGAGGAAGAAGTCCACAGACTCCGGTCAGAACATGAGCAACGAGACCAGCGGGGTCGTAAACCCAACTACCAATGCGCCAGATGCAGGGGAAACCATCCTCGATCCAAATGCAGATTCTTAGACGCCATGTGTCGTTTTTGCAAAAAACGAGGGCATATTGCAAAAGTATGCAGAAACAAAAGAAATTCCAGCCCCATATGGAGAGGGAGCAGCCCAAAAAGGAATGATGGCAACTCGACCACACAGAGGGACCGCCCTAGCAACCAGTGGAACCAGTACAGCAGACCCCAAAGGTTTAACGGCACACCTAGACGAGAAGAGGCTCATCAAACCATCACCATCGGCCACGCTTCATCGCTTGATGCTAAAAAAATCCATGTAAAGGTCACCATTGAAAATAAACCGTGCATCATGGAAGTCGACTCTGGGTCCTCACTATCCATGGTATCCTGGAAGATGCTCAAGCAACTGATTCCCAACATCTGACGCCAAGACCTCAGCAGTCAGAGACTCATACTGAAAGATTATCAAGGCAACCGGATTCCAGTCGCAGGTACCTGCCATTTCCAGGTCTCTTTCAAGGGACATAATGCAATTCTACCACTCACCATCGTAGACAGAGACCGGCCAAGTCTATTGGGCCTTCAGTGGTTCGCGCCATTAGGAATCGGAATGGCTGGCATCCATCATACTGAAGACGATGACTGGGAGACAGCCCTCGTCCACGATTTCCAAGAAGTGTTCAGCGAAAACTTAGGCAAGTACAAGGGGTCCCCTATTTCATTTAATCTTCACCCCGACATTGCACCCATTTGCCTAAAGCCACACCGAGTTCCCTTTGCTCTCAAACCCAAAATTGATGAGCAACTGGACAAATTAATTGCACAAGGCATGTTAGAGCCCATTTACCACGTCCGATGGGAGACACCAATTGTCACCCCCATAAAGCCTGATGGGTCCTTGAGAATCTGTGGTGACTACAAAGCCACCCTCAATCACGCGCTACAGCAGAGCGCCTATCCAGTACCAGTTGTTCAGCATCTCCTGCATTCACTTGGGGGTGGCAGAATATTCGCAAAATTAGATCTGGCCGAAGCATATCAACAGCTGCCAGTGGATCCCGAGACTGCAGAAGCCCAAACTATAGTCACACATTGTGGTGCATTCAAATGCAACAGGCTCCAGTTTGGAGTAAGCGTAGCCCCAGGCATCTTTCAAAGCCTGATGGAGAGACTATTACAAGGTATAAAAGGGGTCGTGCCCTATTTTGATGACGTACTAATAGCAGCCCCAACAAAAAGTCAATTAGAGAAACACCTCAGAACAGTCCTACAAAGGTTCAAAGATGCTGGCCTCAAGGTTAAGAAGGAAAAGTGCCAGCTATGCACAGAAAGGGTGGAGTTTCTTGGCTACCTTCTTGACAAACAAGGAATCCACCCTACAGAAAAGAAATTGGCAGCTATCAAAAATGCCCCAAGACCTAAAAACAAAACTGACCTCCAAG